CTACCATTCAAAGTTCTGTGCAAATTTTAATTTAGGATAGTTTACCCTAATTGCTGCATCCCAGATTAAATTTTAGATTCTTCAAATTTTTTGAAACACTTTTTGATGATATGTGCTTTGAGTTTTTCCTCATTGCTATAATTCACATTCTGAGAATGGCAACTGCTATTCTATTTAAATCTGTATTATTCCAAAATGTAAACATTTAGAACTTGATTATATATTATTTTGATTACCTAATGATTTCTTTGTCTATATCTTAATGTGTATGAGCACAAAGACAGAACTTTCAAATATGTGCTCAAAAGTACTTGTTTAAGTGAACTGATTAAATATACTTTTGTGTTATAATTTATAGTGTTTCACACAGAGTAAGGACTCAGTAATTGTCAGCTGCTTAATAAGGTAGTAACAAGAGATATTCCCAAGGGATTCACATCTTACTAGTGGTCTTAAGAATCACTGACTACCCTCCATGGTTAGGATTATTTCAACTAGTTTTTAAATGTCTTATTCATTCTCTCCTTATTCACCTTTATTAATATTTGCTTATGTTGAAAACAAAAAACATGGAAGAAAGAAATCCAACAAAATGCGAACAATGTGATAGGAAACTATTTTATGATGGAAATATTTTAAAATATAACTTACTTAATATCACTTTTTCTTTGGACTCCATTCCTTCTGAGTTATCACCAATAGTGGTAAGGGTAACAATAAAAAGGACAAAATATTTTGGGATAATAGAGGATGTTATCCTGTGACTGAGTTCTCATACCGTATGAGTCAATGACATAGGGGGTTATTAGGAAAGAGCCCCAAAGATCACATGGAAGTTAGTTTTAGACAATCCTAGTCCTGTCTCTTCCAGTCTGAGAAAAATGCAGGTAAAACTTAATCTAACAAGGTTTATATTGAGGAAATATTGATATGGATGACTAAACAGCATCTCCCAAATTATAGAGAAATGATTTATTATATTACTAAATACCATAAAGCATCTGTGGAATATCCAAAGTAGGGAAGAGATTATGGTATAATCCACAATATGTATAGTTTACAGTAGAGTAGGTAACTATAATTTATCACTTCCTAATGAATTAAACATGCCTTAATCATCTTTCCATAGATACTCCTGAAAAGATTTCAATACCCTTCTTGTTCATGATAATGAAATGTAATTTTTTACAGTCTCCAAGAAATCCCTAGTCATTTCTGATCTTGCTTTCTAAGATTTATTTATTTTAGAGAGTGAGAGAGTGCAAGCAGGGAGGAGGGTAGATGGAGAGGGAGAGAGAAAATCTCCAGCAGACTCCCTGCTGAGCACATGGAACCTGACGTGGGGCTCCATCTCATGACACTGAGATCATGACCTGAACAAAATCAAGAGTCAGTCAGTTAACCAACTGAGACACCCAAGCACCCCATCTTGCTTTCTTTTTCTGATGGGTGTCTCATATATTCAATGAGTCACCAAGTTATATTTTTTCCTCAATTTGGGAATATCTGTAATTAATCTCACTTCCTGTCATGATTTCTCTTCAGGTCCTCATCACAGCACCCTGAAATTATTTTACAATAGACTCCTAAATGATTTTATCTCCCCCCCATCAAATCTACATTATATATTTCTACTATATTAAACTTTCTATTTATTTATCACTTGATTTCCTTTCTTAAATATCTTCACTGGGTCTTAACCATGCCCATAATAAAGTCCTATCCACTATGACTGATCTTCATAGCTCTTTAGAGTTAGGCTCCATACTGGCAGTCTAACCCTAACACCCAGAACTTACCAAACATGAGCCCTGAACTAGATTGTCTTTCCCAGTGTTGTGTGGCCTATTCCATTTCAAATCTTTCTTGTGCTTTTCTCCCTGGCTAGAATTCATCTACTCTCTTTTCAACATAACTAAATCTAACCATCCATTAAAGCATAGATACTGCCCCTCCTTTTCCTCCAAGCCATTAACTTGGTGTCTGAAATCATGTGTCCTGGTATTGTTTAGTTGTGAAATATTTAATATGTGAATTCCTATGTCCTTTCCAAAATTGAGATATGGCTTACATTTTACTACTCTTATCTATATTCCTAGTACTCTACCTTGTATTTTTTATGTAGTCAGTAAATTAACTTGAAATATACTGTGAGGTTCATAGCTTAACTGTTACCAAAGGCCCAGATCTGACAAATATAAAAATTCATTTGTAGTATGTGTTTTGCTCTTAGATGTCGTTGTGTTCTGACAAAGAGTTTAGATAATCTGTTCTCTAAGTCCCCAACACATTTTTTTTTAATTGCCAAGAAAATCTTTTGTTCAAAAGCAATATATACACAAATTTCAGTTCAGCCTTATATTTTAATTAGCACATATTTTGAGTGAATTACATCTAGATTATCATCAAGTGTATCTGTTTGGTATCAATAATTACTAAGGGATTATGAGTATTCCCAAAAAGGGAGTTAATCAATGTTTTATCTGGAATCAAAGAATAGTCATGAATACCCTGTTATACCAAGTCTTCTTTTAATCCACAAAGAAAAGTGATCCTCATATTCTATCAAGTTTCACTTCTACTAAAGACTTTGAATTATGCAATACTATAATGAAATAATGGTAAAAAAAAGATTAACATTTTAACTCATGATGAATATGTTCAACAGAGTTCCCTGGATGCAAACCTTTCTGCAAAGCATTTTGTTACTGTTTACAATTGGCAAAATCTTCATAAACCAAGGATTTAAGAGGCATTGTGAGGCAAATGAGAAAACATTGAGTCATGTCCCATTATTTTTTTTAAAATGGCATATTTAAGCCAACACTAACAGAAATGTAGCCATTATGTTTGTAGTCACTTCTGACTATAATGTCACGCCATTTCCACCATCATACTGGGAAAATGGTATTGAAAAAGAAATTTTTTGAACAAATTGATTGAAAGAAACTGTGAGACCACAAAAAATTACAAGATATTTTAGCTTCAAGAAGTAAAATTTGTCCATTGAAAATTCCACATAGGGGCTCCTGGTGGCTCAGTGGGTTAAGCATCTGCCTTCAGCTCAGGTCATGATCTCCAGGTCCTGGGATGGAGCCTGGTGTTGGGCTTCCTGCTCAGCAGGAAGTCTGCTCCTCTCCCTCTCTCTCTCTTGTTTTTTTCTCTCTCTCTCCCTCTGCCCCTCCCCACTACTTGTTCTCTCTCAAATAAATAAAATCTTTTAAAAAAAGGAAAATTCCACAGAATATAATAGCTCTAATGGTAGGGCAGAAGATTGAGGGATTAAAGAAACAAAGTGAAATAATTTATGGTTATATATATTAACAGATGCCTATAACCTGCATGTTTACCTCAGGCCTCATATTCCTATCTGTAGGAAAAGAAAAAAAAATCTATTTAAGAGGACTTAACTAATGACAACACATTTCCAAAATGGGCTTAAAATTTTTCCAAAGTGCTGAGAGAGAACTGTTAAATGGTTAGAAACAATCATACTCTGACCACTCTTTTGAGTTACAAATTTATGTATATACCTCTTGCTTTTTCACTGAATGAGCACAACCAATTTAAAAACCAGATAGTACAGTTGCATTTCAAAGTGGCAAATTATAAAGTGCACTACTAAAGTGCTCTGTCATCCACAAACATCTACATGCAAGCAGTAATGGGTTAGAATGTTTCAGAGCAACTAAGAGTGTTTGCTAGCAGAACAACATGGTGAAAAAAATTAGAAAAGTAAAAGAACATGTCTTATGAAAACCTTACATAAAAATATCCCCATTATCATTTTATTTATATGGAAACACACTGACATCTAAATCCAGAAAATAATTTTGTACTGCATACTCAGACTTGCAGTAAATACTGTGACTAAAAAATGGGCCATGATGGGAATGGCTGAGAGATGGTGACCATGAAAATGACCTAATTAAAATTTAAAAAGAAGAGATCATGACATTGATACGCACAAGTTAGAGAACTGGTTGGAGAAAGAGCAGAGCAGGCAGAAGGGAAAAAACATCAATTACAGTGGAACAGAAAAAGTGGTTATAAACAAAAGCAATCATGAAACTCAGAAGAATAAAATGGAAATTGATATATATATGTATATATATAATAAATATAAAATTCATTTATAATGTGAGTTAGGTAAATTTTAGTTTTTAATATAAGTTATAGTTAAAACTTTGCCACAACTATCTCACAATACTGTGAGGCTCAAATATAAGTTGTGAAAGTGCTACATAAACTATAAAATGCTATATTCATGTAAGACAAACAATATTTACTCAAAATGCAAATGAAACCTCTCATTCCAACTCAGGGAGAAGGCAAGTAATGAGCTCTCTGGGACACAGAGGGTGAAAATGTCACTCTGATCCGTTCTCAGATTTTCTTGGAATCACAGGCTCTATATATTCACTCTATGGGCTGGCTTTGAATGCAGAGCAAAGACAATATAATTCGGACTGATGGATCTGGGGGCAATGTTACAGACGAATTGTATGGAGAAAAATCCTTCTTAATTTGTGGAAGAAAGATATTCCCTTCCTGCTTCTTAACGTTCATAAACCTTTTTGCCTGCACAAATGTCATATTTAATTATACTGATTTCTCCTCTTTGAGGAAGGAATGAGAGGAGCAGGAGAGGTGATAAAAATTCACTAAAACATGCCAAAACACATAACATTCTATGCCCAAAACTAACTCCTAGGATAGAAAAATAAGTCTACAATGCACCAAGTAAACTGAGGCTTACTGATGCTAAATGACTTATATAAGGCCACTTATTCACCACCAAATCAGTATTTCTGGGTCTGAGTCATATCAAAGCTCTGGCACGTTCCACAACACAGCCTTCCATGAAAAGAAGAAGAAGAAGAAGAAGAAGAAGAAGAAGAAGAAGAAGAAGAA